CCACGGACTGCAGCATCCAATGTTATTTTTGCCGCATCAGATGTCATTTTTGTGCCGATAGCCGCACCTCGTTCCGCAAGCTCTTTTCCACGGACTGCAGCGTTTATTGTCATTTTTGCCGCATCAGATGTCATTTGTGCACTAATGGAAGCACCAATTTCGGCCAATTCTTTGCCGCGTGTGGCTGTCTCGTAAGTCAATGCAGCGCCACGGTATGCCATTTCTTTGGAATAACGATAGGTGTGGCCGACAGCAGCTTGCATATAGTGCAAGTTATCACGAGCAACTGGAAACAGTACAGTATCGGAAGAAATCAATAAAAGAAATCTACTTTCCAGAGAACAGAATTAAGATTCTTTAGATTCGACGAAATATTAAACCAACTGGTTTTTTGATTCCATTTGTTTATATTTCTTTCATAAGCTTACCTAGAATTCCTTCGGTGGCCAACTTATAAGCATCAATTAATCCTTTGCTTATTCGATCAGCGTAGAAACTGGCATCGGTCATTAAATCAACCAGATAATTTGACTTTTTGGCGATAAGTGCATCAAGAAGTTTTGTTTTTGCAGAATCTCGATCTTTTAAGAATACATACAATTCCCTTTTGTCATCATAAAATTCATGTGCGCGGCGCAAAATTTTGTCAAGTGCTGTATCCAACGTTGCAAGGACCTGTCACAGACTGTCACTCAAGGCAAACTATTGGGAGCCAAGATCATAAGAAGTTAATTTGTTAAGCATAAGATAGGTGCGTTAACGTCCAGTAAAAGATATCGATACACGATAGCAAATCTCCACTAATCAAATATGGGTAATTTAAAAGTTTGTCACCGAAAGAAAGTGGCTAAAGTATTCTTCAATTTTTTTTCTGTGATTACGGTCGTAATTTATGGAAAACCTTTTCGCTTAATGGTATTTTCCGACTGAAATAATCTCGTAAAATGGTAGCTTCTTCCGGCATGAGTACTTTGCCGAGGACTTGATTAGACGTTAGTGCTTCTACTATTCTTTTTGCAATCTCGGATACTACAACCTGCATGGATAAATGATAAGGATATTTTTTCCCCTTTAAAGAAATAAATAAACTGAAAAGCTGTTGAATCATATATCATTGAATTTGAAATTATTGGGTGCTGATATGAATTAACTTTCTCGAAAGAAAATTGGACTTCGAATTGAAATAGAATCTTCGAAGTGACTGTACTGTGAAATAAGTGGGAAACCTTTTTTTCTTCTTTGATATGATCTTGTTCTGCGAATAACTGATCCTTTTTCTCGATTTCAATTAACTTTTTGGCAATGTCTTCTCCTGTAAACCATAATTGCTCTTAGTTCTAAGCAATAAATAACATTTATCTTTGGTTGCTTGTCATCTATGTTACTTTGATAATTCTGAGTACGACCTCTAGAAAAAGCAAATAATTGAATATGCCGATAAAAAGTGATCGGAATCGATTAAATACAAATTCGATGCACCGAACAAATTGGATTTATATTAGAAATATATTTATGAATATTTGACCTATGACGTCTTTATTCACTTTGTTGGATTCTGTTATTAAATCAGTAGCCAATGATTGCAAGAGATTGGTATCCAGTATGATTTCGTCATCCATTTTTTCATATAGTGATTGATCTTTCTTCGTCACTTTAATGGGTTTTAGCAGCAAATTAGTATTCGATATGCTTTGCGAGTATTCTTTTTGATAGTAATTGCTAACATCTTCACAATAAATGTTAAAATTTTAAAAGTAAAACCAAGATGACGATAAGGCTGCTGGAATTAATAACATCCCTTGGAACTATTTGTGTGGTGGCTTGATAATTTCCGAAAGGATACTTTCATTAGTTCTTCAAAATTTTTGAAATCATGGTTTTTCAAAATCACTTGAAAAATTCCGAGTGGCTACTTACCTAAAGAAATATTTGCTGGCAATGATTCCGCTTTAACTAATGACTGAAAATCGGTATCATTTTGTTACAATTTTAACGATTATTCTAAAGTGGGTTTTACGGAATTCATAAATGTTTAATATAAATATCTCGTTTTGGTCACAGTATTTCGTCCTTACTTTATTTCCATCTTTTTTTATCTTGCAACAAGATGACAGATATACTTCATTTCATTTCTCAATGCAAATCTTTGTTTTAGAAATTCACTGTTAAATTTTCAAATGGATTGTAAAATTTATCAATTTCCAGACACCTATAAGTTCAGGACAAGGAACTGATACCCTATTTTTACCCATTCAATTTGTCCTAAAAATAAAATAAATTCACTTGATCAATCAGTTTTATAAATTCAAAGAAATTTACGAAGTACATGAAAATCGAATACCTTATCTGAACTGGACTTTGACACCACAGGCTTCGATTCCTGTTCTCCTGAAATTTCTACTACCTTTTCACTTCCTCCAGCACAACTTCCAAATGCTAATTCTTTCCCTTCTGCACATCTATGCACTGCATTCTCGTCCTTCCGATTTTCCTCTTTGCTTTTTGTCATCTCATTTCCTACCCGTTTCTTTTTTTTTACATCCTCTGCATTTTCGTCTTTTTTATGATTTTTTAATATTTTTAACCTTTTTTGACGGGTTTTAAGCTTTCCACGGTCCACTTCTTCCTTTCTTTTTTCTTTTTTCCCCAATCTTTCTGCTTTTTTTCACCTGCACCTTTTTTAACTTCGCCTTTGAGCGTCTTTGGTTGAGATTCAATGTTATTTATCTTATCAGTCTTGGATTCTAGGGATGAAATCGTTGCAGAACTTTTTGTTTCCCTCCTTTTCTCTGGTGGTACTAATAATAATGACGCTTCTGAGTTGTTTATCAAATTCGCTCTTAAAGAGGTTGATCTGCTTTGACTGACTTCCCTTGTTTCAGTTGAATTTTTTGAACAGCTCAGTTGTGAGAATGCTTCTGGACTTCCTGATGTATGTGCATCCTTTGGTTGTAACAATGAACTTTTGTTCAAAAGCGTACTTTTCTGCCTGTTGTGTAAAAAAAGCACTACAGTATACATTACGAAAACCATGATGACGATCAGAACTGTATCTGTACAGTTCTATTTATATAGTAATTAACAAGAACTGCTTCTTCGGCTGCCAGCAATATAACACAATAATCTTTGAGTTTTGAAACTTCTGAGATAACGGGAGAGTTATATCCATCATTGTTTTTATGTCTCAAGAATGAAAGGACCAATCAACCTATATTTTCGCTTGTAAACAAATATTTGACCAGAAGAGAATGGACTTGTTAGGCTCATTTAGCTGGTAGACGTTTGAATTTAAGAAACTGGTAGTATATTTGTGGAATACTTGTTTGTCAGTAACCTTTTCCGTGGTAATGCTTCGTTTACCTGAAACAACTATAATCGAAACAAACACTCAAACTGAAAAATATCGAGATTTTATACTAATTTTAAGAAAGTAAGGAACAAATATAGTACTGGAGAACTTTTAAGGCTTATTTTAAAGTTTGTTGACAAAAAGCTGAATGTTCAGAATACTAACAGTGGCTAAGCTGGAATGTTCCTTCATCCGGAGCAGCCTGAAAGCTACAGATATAGCGACTGTAAAATTGAGAGATGGCTTGCAATATATTATGTACTAGAATATTTCCCATCTAAAGAGGTACGATTTTCTGCAACCAAAATTGAGCAAGCTATTGTGCTATGCTATATTCGGGAGTGCAAAAAGTTCAGCAAATGTCTTATCTGGATTTTTTGGTCCGCAAATTGTCCCAGGTAAAAAATTATGAGAAATGCAATGGACCCTTCTCAGTTTAAATTATACTTCAGTACATAAAACACTCGACTTTATAATACAATTCATTAAGCGATTTGTTTTTAGAAACCAATTTTCGGCAACAATTTTCCTGAATAACAAAACAGATTAAGAATTAGTAATTCTAAGGTACTGGAAGCGTTAGATATGAGAGCGTGGTTGACAAATCAGCCTGCTTATAAATCTAGGAGCGTGTTCTCCCCTTTTTTTTTCTTAGCTTTACTTTTCTCGAAAATAAGACCCTTTATTTGTCTCGGCGATTATTGGATTGATTTCCACATCGACCTTTTCGAATGTTTCTTCGTCGTAGGCATCACGTGGCAATGGAGCAGTACTAAAATTTATTGTCTGTTATATGGAACTGTCTCAAGCATTTTCCAATATTGGCCGAAAAATAGTGTCAGACCATTTCATATATACATTTTCTACTCAAGAAAATTTCTGTTCCAGGGACAGTGATATGGCCACTCGTGGGCATCAAACCATTTCGTTTGATTTACCCTTTTCTTAGACTTTTTGAAATCAAAACTTGGACTAGTTTAGGGACTTCAATTTTCACAATATTCGAAAAAGGCGTACATTTGAGGCATGGTACTAGCACTGATTCTTATCTGTGTTTGACCGCTGAAATTAGGCAGAAAAGATCAGCTGATTACGCAGCAGAGTAAAAGCTGATGAAACAGCATTTCTTGCTGTCCACTGCACAGCATCATTTGTATCATTTCCTTTTGAGATAAATTTAAAAAAATGGATTGCAAACCAATGATCAACAGCAGTAATGCGAACAATCTATGAGACATCTTAACTGATGCTGCTCGACATGAATATGTCACATACAAAACTACAAGATTCAAGAAACTAGATTTTGTTAAATCCATACGTTATGGCTGCAAATTTGTTTTGTCTTCTTTTAAAACGAGCCCGTAATTTTTCTAAGTCGTTCTCTGTCAAAACTTTCCTTTCTTCTAAAATACTTCCTTCTCAAAGCAATAAAAAATCTGGCGCAATTATGAAGACATATAATTTGCAAAACTGTTTTGCTCCATAATAGCTGAATGGTACATGCTTATTTATTGAATGTCACTGTTTTTCCGGATTTTAATCATATCTCCCTAATGTTCCGATGATAAGCGAAGAAAAATTTATTTCTCAATACTTTCGTTTTAACAAATAGTACGTTTTTTGAATGATACACAGCACAAGTATTCAATCCCCATATCACATCACATCGCCGAAAAAAAACTGAGATACATCAACTACCTGACATTATCGACAAGTGAACTGCTCAACGCAAGTACAAAAAAGCATAGCCGTGACTTGGCCCTTTTCCATTGCTTATGAATTACTGATAAGAGATGCAAATTTTGAAATGTCATAGTCACTCTGCATGAGGTAAATAAACATCTTTAGTAAGTTGACACAGTAGATACGGTAATACAATAAGCAATTAAGGAAACAACAAACAGGTGTCGTACTACTGAAGTGAAAGCTATGTTCAAATAAAATTCCCACAGTATCTAACATACAGAGTGATGAAATCTTGTAAGTAAAATTAAAGCAATGGAGAGAATATAGGCTCACAATGGACAGCATAACACAAAGACATCTCAGTATGTACACCATGGATAATGATATCCATTGTACCTACATAATGGACAATGCCAGAGGGCAGCCATATCTCCATGATAGCCCTGATAGAGCTTACAAAACTTCCCTCTAATCCCTATATATACACAAGGAAAAATCCTAAATAGTTTAGTTTTTTATAATCAAGCAAACTATGATATCCTCTTCGCATATCCGCCATCATTGAACAACAGACTACAATATTCCTTCTTTTCGCTAAAAATATTTCCTGCAACATATTCCCAGCTCAACGAAGGACGAATTCTATGTCTCAACCATTACGCAACCTATCAACAAAACGACGGTCAACTATTATCGAAAGCAATGACAAGGGATTTGTTAGTTGGTCATATTGTTTATTGTATAACTCATTTATCACTGCTTACCAATTCACTGCGCAATATATACATATATATTTTACACTTATTTTGTTGTTAACTAGTAATATTATGCAAGAACAATATTACATCCCGAATAAATTTGTATCGCCAAGAAACGAAGTCAACAGATTAGCTTTACCAACGATAGATGCAATAAGCGAATTCATCAAATATAATAACTGAAGGCAATTGGACCGGTCATACAGTAAGTAAACGATTGAATATAGCAAATGTCACAATTCAACAAGGCAGAAGTGGCATTCTGATACACATCTGCCAGTCTACCTTCTGTGGACATCATTTTATTGCACAACGTCCCGAAAAGGGTGTAGACCGTGAGGTACTCTGCAACAATGTGAAGGACTGGATTGGATACGTACTTGGGTTAGGTGTATAGGATTTAAGTGAGATTTGAATTGGAAGGGAGTTGCAGTTCATATGTAATTCTCTTGACCGTAATTCTCTACTGGTTTGTCTGTACCTTTCTTATAGACGTTTATAGACGTTTTGTTCCTTGTTCAACATCCTATCATTTCATTAATCTTACATTCTCTTGTATCTCCGTTTAGTAGTTAGTCTAATTAATTTAAGCAACGAGAGTTCGCGCAGATCTGATCTTGACCAATCCTAAAAGGATCTTCACCTTAAAGGGGGGAATATTTACGCTGTGGTTACTGCAGCGATTCGGAAGTGGTACTCTTTGTGCTACTTAATACAGCTTGTCAACGGATTCGCTGCTTATCTGCAACAACTTTGGGTTTGTCCCAGCTATTACGCGGTATGTTTTGTTAACTCCTATAGTAAGTTGCTGTCTTCGTGATTCCGTTACGTGAACATATCTGTCGCATGCGGTCTTTTTAGTGTGTTCCTGCAAATTTGCACATTTGTATCGAAACTGTCATTTTTCTCTGTGTCTACTCTTTTCACGCATATTTCAGTTTTTTTTTGAATTTGTGGCTGTTTTTGTTGTAAGAGGTAAATAATCTTAATACAAAAGCGTTTAAGCGCAAAACCAAGTTCTGGAAAAGTGAGGATTGAACCTTCTGATCCAAATTTTATTCACTGCATGAATCGTCTTGCCGTCCTTCCGTTTTTCATTACGGTTCGTGCTGTGTTTGAAGTTTTAAAGAAAAATGAAGTTTCATTGCAGCAATGGGTGCCGATGAACCACGATTTCGTGTGCTGCATGTTAGCAACATCTCTATGACAGCAACACGTGAACAGATATATCAGCTTTTTGCTTTTATTGGGCGAATTGACGAATTTAAGGTTGGATTCATCATTACATTCATAGAATTGCATTAAATTGTCTATGTTTTATCATTACATTAAATTACCTGTCAGTTAAATCCTCCATCGTACAAGAAAAATTATGTGTTCTAAATGCCATCTCGTTATGTATGTTCATAACCCCTGTTTCCACATTCATTCGATCTCATTTTTATCCTGTGCAGGGTCTAACTTTCAGTGGGGAGATGCAGAAATGGTGGGACGAAGTGTGCTTCATTGTTTATTGCGTGATTAATTTTTGATGTTAGCGAAGAATTCTACTCACAGATGAGAAGGAAGTGTTTGTCGTGAATAGTAAAACTCTTCACAGCTTTTTCAATAATAATTGAATTCGTTCAGATTTACCCCTCTGATAATCACCCACAGTTATCGACATTTACTCAGAAATTTGCGTACGTTAAATTTGAAGATCAGAAGTCAGTAGAAGTGGCACAGCATCTGACGAACACTGTCTTTATCGACCGCGCCCTTGTTTGCATCCCATCTATATCAGGTTCAGTGATTTTTAATTTCTGTCTAAATATGGAATTTTAGTTGTTTGCTGCCTTCTAACTGATGCGGACTTGTCGGAAACGATAGGCTACACTTCGAATATTCGAATAAATGAATCGTACACGAGTAAGACACGAACGAGACAGTTTCTATGTGAATTATTGTGTGTCGTGTGATTTCCACGTCACGACTAACTTTTGCTGAATTGTAAACATAAACCGTTTTGTTAATGTTATACTCGTGTACAGTCTATTTATTTGATTGCTTGAATTTGATTTATTAGTCTTTCCACGGATCTTTTGGCTAATGGTAGTTATTTGATGTACATAAGGCCGAATGTGATGGTTCGGGATTGATGGAATGTACAAATATGATACTATAAAATTGTATTTGTAGATACAATACCGGATGAAGACACAGCATTGAAAACAGGTGGACCGGCGTGGCCAGGTCAGCGTCAGTTGCCACCGAATGTTGTCAATCAAATCAAGGATTTGGGAGACGGGCAGCAAATGGTTATTTTGTTTTTGTTTACGTCATATTACTAAATTTGAATCAGTTTCTTTAAACGGCTGTTGATCGAGATGGGCGGAAAGAGGTAGAGATGAGACATTTGGGGGTGAAATAACTTCCCAGTTCATTTTATTTTAAATTTAGCGGCATTAATGCTAGCTTGTAACGAAACGGACCTTAAGTTATAATATGTGTTTCATTTGTTTCAGCTTTGTCGATTACAGATCGCCGTTGAAACGCTTATTGCTGTTTGTCGCTTAAGATCTTTGATTTAGTTATCAAATAAGATACTAGAGGATTTGTTTTACCATGTGATAGAGAGCGTGAAAAGATTTAAATCTACAAAATTAGTGAATTGAACTGCTGATACTCACATTAGTGAACCGACATTTATGATCCATCAGCAACCTTTGTTGTGATACTTTGTGAACTCACTTGCTTTACCGTTATATTCTTAGATAGTTGGTGTCTATTTTCTTCTCCGTCGTATGACATGCATTTTTGGTGATTTGAGAGAAGCTGTAAATTTTTGAAGGTTCAAAAAAATCCAGAATAGTGGAGAAATACGTATTTTGTTGGATGGAATTCTTTGGCCGTTCTTTCTGGAGTCAAGTTCATGGAGATTGCTTTGACAGAAAAATTCAGCTGCACTGTCCTATTATTTTTATTTAAATTTCTGTTTCAGTAACTTGGTATAGAGTGATTGAATTGTGAAATCATGCACATCCACATATACAAATACAGATTGTGCAATACCGAAGTCGGAATTTGGTGGGTCCTCCGTGGCATCTCAATGCTAAGACGGCCCTTGTTCTGAGCATACATATGTCTATATTTCTAGTTGTACATTAAAAAAAATCAAGTTTTACCCACTGTGCATAAGTTTTACCCACGTCAAGCAATTATTTTTTATTTATGGTACATTTTACTTCATATTAACATGCAAAATGAAAATTTTTGCTTATGAGTTTGAAAAAAGCGGTTGTCTGAGTTATATCACTACGAGCTGGTGAAATTCAGAAGAATATTCCCCAATCTTTACTAGTAGTTTTACTAAATTGGCATGCTATTTTCAGTTGCTTACAGTGGACCCAACATTGGCGGCACTTGGTTTACCACCGTATCCAACATTGAGTGCGAATACAGAAGCATCAAAAGTAGAAGAAATCCGTCGTACAATATATGTCGGCAATATACCGAAGGATTGTGGTGGTGAAGAAGTGATGAAGTTTTTCAACGACAACATTGGTGAAGTAAGTTCATTTTATGTGTCTTTCATTTTTGTAGAAAGAATTTGGTATTTGCTTTACGTAAAGTTATTTAACTTCAAAGCATGATAATAAATGAACCATTCAGACACACTATCCATTACGGCCATAATTATTCCAGCATAATGACTTGATAGTATTGACGAGTTCTTTCTTCAGCAGACAACAATATTGAACTCGGCTAAAAAGTCGCATCGCACCTCAGAATTATTATCTCAAATTTCATTTATTCATAAAATACGTGAGGGGAAATTTCTAATGGTAAAAAATTGTAGCAAGCTTTGTTAATTGCATTATCAATTGTTTTTCTTGGTTCCTTTACTTTTCCAAACATAGACAGAATTTATTTCTTTCCATCTCTTTATAACTGCGTAAAGCACTGTACTATAGTAGGCGAAGTTTATACAGAACGATAGAAGCCATACGTAGTACATTTTCCCTGAAAATGATATTAAAAGCATATACTTAGGCATAAGGTTTCCTTGAATAGAATGCTTAGAATGAAACGATTTGTAGAATAAAAATGTACCTCCACCAACAATGTGAATGATTGCTAAACGTGTTTCGCTAATACCATGTCTAAAATTTTTTTTTGAAAATTATTTGAAGTTTATATTACTGTCTACATCAGTCAATTGATTCCTCTGTTTTAAAACTAATAGATGTGTCTAATTTAGTCTAAATTTTCAACTTTAGTGATGATTCCAGTGCATAATTCCAGTTAGCACCCGTGTATAGAATAATATAGTGGTGGATGCATATACTTTTAATTTTGTCCTATAAACAGATAAATGATAATGTTATCATTCCATATAAATCATATATTTGTTCAGAAAGCTGAAGTAAAAGAAGTAGCAGGAACTGTTCTGACTTGAGTACAACGTAGGTGATACGTGACATGAATACAAGCCAAAATAGGGCGCATTTAAAATCTAGTTGATCTTCCCAGTCATCGCTAAGTGGTTGAGGTAGTGTCCATTCCGTATAAGGTTTCATTCCATGATCTTCAAGTTCATACTGTGTTTTGCATATTTGACAGCGCTTAAATTAGATCGCTTATTTTCTTTAAAAAACTGTATAATTGTCGCTTTTTTCCAGTAGACTAAAATGAATAGGCTTTAGGAAACGTCAACTGAACAAATGAAAAATAGTGACGTAGCTTCCATCCTGTTCTCACACTCAAGTGTTATTCGCAAAATGTTGCAAAACTATGATTCAATGACTTGAACATAGCAAATCTTGCATTACGATTTCTGATTCTTCGCTCCCTTACTTTTGCTGACGAAGTTTTGCGAAGTTGTCAGGTTAGCAACTTTAAATAGGTTATGTATAATGTTAACTTACTCGCGTATGCATCACATCAAACCAGTGTTGTAGACATCGTGTATGTACAAATTGTAGTGAACCGCGACATTCGCACGGTGAAATTAAATTTAATTCGTTGTCTTCTTCTAGGCATATTCTACAATTTAGCTTTCGCATAGAAGACATCTGCCTGCAGAAAGCTGACGTCCTGGTAACATTCACTGTCAAATCGTAAAAAAATTATAAGTCCAATATAATTTAGCATTTCCCCACTTCTGCATGAAAATTTAAAACTCCAGAAATATAGACCAAAACAAATAAATTTTGGAAAAGCTGGAACTTTTCATTCTGCTCTGACCGCGCACTTAATACGAAGTCATCATCTGAACAAGTGAAAAATGATGAAAAAGCCTCCATCCCATTCTCAGATTCAAGTGTCATCCTCAAAAGGGCTGTGAAACTACGACTGAATGACTTGAACGTAGCAAATGATTACATTTTGTGATTAAGTTCTTCAATTTTATATTCTCTATAATTCATTATGCACATATTCATTTTTTATGATTTCATTCTTGCCGTTGAGAATTGGAAATTCAAATTTTGAGTTGTAGGAGTAAGCTAAATAAAAGACAGAGTGAAAATTTGTGCTTTAGTTAGTATTTTTTAGTAGCAAGGTAAATTATAAGATTTTTTAATTTCTAGCTATATACAGAAAAGGAAGAGCAATGTAACACTGAATAATAGTGTATAATCGCCTGATCCTGAAATCATTGCGATACTAAAAGAGATGATAGGTCCATGGTTGTTCGGTTTTTTAACAGCTAAAAATATAGTGAATTTTTCTCCATTGCTTTCCAGAAAATTGTTGCCAATTTTTAAAAATTTTTTATGGTACCCGTTCTAACATAAAATCAATATTTTACCACTCTCTAATAGCTGAAGGAAACTTATTCAAGCGAAACTTATTCGAAGTTTATTTAACGAAAATTAATGAAACAACGAAACTTATTCAGGGCTTAAATCCCCACGTTCTAAATATACTCAAGTTATGGCTTATTCTCGATTTTATGAAAAGGATGTTTTTATTTCTTTCTCCGGTTGTTGAAGACTTGTAAATCATCTTTTTGTACGACATGACTATCTTTATTTGAGTTGTAAATCAGTAATTTAATTTTAAGGTGATGTATCTTCGGATGACATCCGGCACTGAAAATTTGCCATGTGCGTATGCATACGTTGAGTTTACTAATCAACCGACGGTCCCCATTGCACTGCAAAATAATGGTATCGAATTTAAAGGTCGCTGTTTACGGTTTGTTCTACTACTTTCATATACAATTTTTCAAGTGCTTCACTTATTTTCATTCAAATATTTGAGTTTTTATACATAATATTATCTACCAAATACTACATTTATATTCGCAATTAGTTGTTAATTAAGTATTGATGAGTCATAACTTTGAAAAAAAAGATACTAAAATTTGCTGTCAAATTGTTTTTCTTTCCAAGTGAATGTCAGTTCCGGATTTTCTGTCTCTTATCAGGTTTTGAAAAAATTAATCGATCTATTCGTTTTCATTAATTCTAAAATCTTTGAAATATTTTAACCACTTTCAGCATACAGCATTCGCGGGTTGCTATAATCAAACCGGAAAGAAAGACAGCAGACATGGCATTGCAGGAGGTGGAAGAAGCAATTAGGGTCAATCAAAATCCAGATAAAGCTGCTAATGCCCTCAGTAAGCTGAACCAAGGATTGGGTAACTTTTGTTTTCCCCAGATGTGGATCACTGGTTTATATTTTTTGATATCATATTCCTTACTATTTTTTGATATCATATTCCTTATCTCGAAAAGCATTGCGAATTTTCTTGAGTAGTGTTTTTTGCGTGTGGAGCATATCCATCTCTGATTGACATGTACGGAACTTTGTCATTTATTCTGCTAGCGAAGTTCTATCCTTTGTTCTAACTCAAATTAATTTGAAAGAGAAAACAAAAGACATTTTTTATAGATGAGTCGTTTTAGGAATGGATCGAAGTTACTCGCCTTTACGGCGATCTGGGTCCCCCCGACGTCATCGAAGTCGTAGTTCAAGCAGACGTCGACGCTCTCGATCACGATCAAAGTATGTTCGAGCTTATGTCTAAGATTTTTACGATAATTTATTACTTCATCTAATAATTAACTTATGTTCTTAAAATGTGCAGAGGTCCAAAAGATTAATGTGTTGTACAAAATCACTGTTTATTTAGATCGCGCCGTCGACATCGCAGCAAATCTAAAGATCGACGCTCACGCAGCAGATCACGGTATTTTTTCCTTTGCCCTTTTTCGGCAGTCTGATATAATGTCTCTCCTTGCGATCGTTGATTTCTTTTCGGATACTTAATTTTTATAGATTTCTTACAGTTCCAACTAACAAGGAACTGTTTAAATAGTCGTATCTTTATACGATTAATATAGGATCATTGAAACAAACTTGACTTCGAAAGTTTACCACCACTAACTTTAATTCTGTATTTATTGTAGCGAACGTCGTAGATGTTCTCATTCTCGCCATCGAAGACTTTCACGTTCAAAAGATAGGAAGGAGAAAGATAAGGAGAAGGTACAGTTGTCATTTCAGACTTTATGTGTAATTATGAAATATATAAAACGTTGTCATGGAGGGATTTTTAGGATCGACGTGATAAAGAGAAAGAAAAGGAGAAGAAAGAACGAAAACGAAGCAGAAGTCGCACACCGCACAAGAAGGATGATAGGCGTGAACGTGATAAGGATAAGGTTCATGCATTTTAAAGCGTATCAAAAAAAAACCGGGTAGGAATTTGTGAGGTTATATAAGAAGTTCTTGTTACGCCAGTTTTCTTTTTCAGGATAAGAAGGAAAAGGATCGTGAAAGCAGTAGTTGGAGAGATAGGGAAAGAAATAATCGCAATGAAAAAAATGATAAAAAAGAAGAGAAGGATCATGATAAAGGAAAGAAAAACTCGCGCAAAGAGAAAGAACGTGAAAAAAGTAGTAGAAAAAGTGAAAACAAAAGCAATTCGGTTAAAGCCGAGGTGAAGCTGCAGATCGAACATGTTAGTTGAAGCTTAGAAATATTTCTGTCAACTCATGTCACAAAAACTTTTTAGCCTATTGGTATGTTATGGTTTCCTGGTATAGACTATCTTCCGCTGTTAATTGTATAATAGTTTTGGAATAAAAATTATATGGTATGGTATGCTCTGAGCGCGAAATAGGCTTGATTAATTGTATTTGCATGCGAAATTTTTTACGAAGATTAGTGATATCAACTAATATCTTAACCGGTGGCATGTTTTGTTTGAAGATGTTTTTTTAGGTAGGAAGTTTTTTTAATATTTTGAAATTTTTTTAGGGTGAGAGCATGGAAGTAGACCATTCAGAACAGGTAACTGCTTCAGATGAAACGGCCATGAGGGAAAGACTGATGGAAAAAGTTTTGGCACGTAATGGACCGAAAAAAGGCGAAAGCGCAGATGTTGAAATGGTGGACACTGATAAACAGAAGTACTGGGTTTTTTTTTTTTCCAACTGGTAATCAGTTCTAGAGCCAAGTGTAAGGGATTGCTGGTTTTAATTTTTTCTCTTAAATATTTTTCACTATTTAATTCACGGTATATTTTGTAATCTTTTGTTCGGCTACCGGGATTTGAGCCATTGCTGGCTCCCAACCAAGGCTAACATGACTTTGAATTTTTCCTCCTTGGCTTTTTTTAGATTTAGTAGTTCTAATTGTAAAGTTAATTTTTACAATAGTAATAACATTTTCAGGACTGAACAAGAATCGAAACGAAGCAGCAGCATTGATGGTGAGTCTCTTCGGAAGAAATCTCGGAAACGCTCGAAATCTTCCAGTTCATCATCTCATTCTGAATAAAACCAATATTTGTTTCTCTATGTATTACTTGTTCACCTTCAATCATAGTTGCAGTAATTGCTGTTTTCCTCAGTCGTAATTCTTTGCTTACACTTACCCAACAGTAGGAGAATGTAACGAGGACTCGTAGTTCTACAAAACAATCTTCCATAGGTAGTGAATTTTATTGCCAAGTAATTGTGGCAGGTCTCAAAGTTTTTTTTGTATTGAATTCACTGTGACCCATATTGAAAATTGTCCACTATTAGTAGGGCTATAAAAAAATGCAAGCAAAATAATATGAGAAGTACAGATTACATCAGAAGTATTTAAGGTATTAACAGTAATTCTTCCTCTAAATACCTTATATCACTATGAGTAAATGAAATATTTTAAATGAGACGAGAATTTTATCACCCCGTTTAATGTACAATGAATCTCAATACCTCACACTACATCACTTTTCATCAAACAATAATTTGGATCATAATGAACTAGAAATACAAAAATGCATGGTTTGCCTGTAAACGATATCGCATGTGCTGTGGCTGTTATTTTTACCTTTCTGATCATAATCTATAGCAGTTTATAGCTGTTTCCGTTTTCAGTGGATTTGTCAAGAATTTACAATACTTCCCATTTACTGAATATTTAAATGATCTTCGGAAGCGTATTTCGTCACACGCACACGCTTGTACGTGTGTGAGATTTTAGATGCTGTAAACAACTCACCGAGAGTAACTTGCTGCATGAAGGCTGGCCATTTCAATTTAAGTTTGACACTATCTTAGTTACCCAGTCTTTTTTTACGCAATTTGCTTCTTTTGATAAATGAACTTCTACCCCGTCGCGAAATTATATTGTTTCTGTTCGCAAGCAGTGTGGTTCAGTAAATTTTGTGCATAATTGCAATGTTTGCAAATTGCAATTGTCAATTTTATTCAAATTAACCGCAACATTAGTAGTACAGAATCTCGTCACGCAATTAAAAATTGCATTGTAGTTGACCTGTGTTATTTCAAGTTTTGTTTTGTATGAGTGACAGAAATCCACTGCCTTATTTGGGGAAGGTGGTGGTTAGGATGCTGATTTCTACTGCATATCTTTTATGAAGGAAAAAGAGAACAAGGATATAATTATAATCACAAAAGCTGGGGATGATGTAATTCACCCAGTAGGTATTTCACACTCATCGTTTTCTCAATTGTTGACCTTTTCAAACCATTCGACCTCAATAGGATGTTAGGTGATAAGTTGTCGGGAGAGCTAATCTGTTGGATTCGGTGTTCGGTGATATAGGTTTATTCGGGATATAATACTTGCAGAGTACTACTAGTTAACGACGAAGAAAAACCAGAAAAAATATATAAAGTACGAGACAAATCGGTAGGAAATGAGTTATACAATGAACAATTGATATGACTATCTCCTTGTCGTTACCTTCGATAATAAATTTGACTGTCGGTTAGTTGATAGATCATTGACTTGAAGATATGGTGCAGGAAATGCATTTAGCGAATCGTAGTTTGTTGTCCAGTGATGATGAATGTGCGGAAATGTCGTTGTTTGTGATTCAGTCGTGGTGGACATGCGAAGAGGATGCGTTGTCTACTTGATTATAAAAAACTAAACTATTTAGGATTTTTCCTTGTGTATATATAGGGATTAGAGGGAAGTTTTGTAAGCTCTATCAGGGCTATCATGGAGATATGGCTGCCCTCTGGCATTGTCCATTATGTAGGTACAATGGATATCATTATCCATGGTGTACATACTGAGATGTCTTTGTGTTATGCTGTCCATTGTGAGCCTATATTCTCTCCATTGCTTTAATTTTACTTACAAGATTCATCACCTAGTCTGTTAGATGTAGTGGGAATTTTACTTGAACATGGTTTTAATTTCGGTAATCTAACAGAGATGACTTATTTTTCAGGAGAGGAACAAAATGTATAGTAGACGGAAAGCCGATGGTAGATGGGAAGCGTTCTCTGCGCACTAATTTTGTTTGTTGTTGTACTTCACTGAATAATTAAACTGAAATAGGTTATTTCATGCCGTGCTGTTGTATGTTATACCATAAATTCTTCAGATTAATATCTGAAAATCGATTTTTATAATATAAAACTAGCTGTTCCTGGAGAACAAAAGAAAATTGGAATGAAATTTTGTCTTTCCGGATTTGCTTCTTGCAGAGGGACTTATTTATTAGAAAGGCTTATGATTTATAGTGCAGGCTCTGACAAAGTGTGCAGTTTTTAAAAGAGAATCAGTCCTATTCTTCAGTGCTAGAAGCGAAAACCAACCGTACCTTAAGGACACCAAATAGGCTTTTACTATGTCTTCAAAATTCTGACGCTTATCCCAATTTGATACAATTTCGAACGGTTTCAAGGTGATAACAGGTCAGATTCATTCTTTAGTAAACAACCATAACCGCTGCTTTACGGTTTACCTAGCAGTCAAGCAAAGTAAGTGCTTCTCATCGTCTTTTCAAAGCTTTCGAAAATTCCAACACGTGTACTCTCGTCTTTAGTTAACACAGTTCTCCGGAAGAAAACTTCATTGGTCACATATCACCTCCGTTTTGATACGTGAAGCCGACCGTCCTGCATTTCACGGTTCATCGACTTTTGCAGTTAAGGATCTGTCCCACTTTTTTGATCAAAAAACGTATGCGGCTCGTTCATTGGGTGGATTCGTAACGCTTTGAGGGACAGTTGCGGAAAATCATTTCTTGTCTTTTACCATATATTCTATGGCCTTAAAGTTAATTTGGTTGGAATTTTCTTAGATGGCAAATAACGCCGCGGATTTGGAAAGGAAGTTGGAAATGTTCAAAGGTTCCTGTTTTGTAACTCAGCTAATGGCACTGTCAGTAAGTGTTGCTCAGCGAGCCGGTAATATCATCAAGGTTAGTTCTATTGATAAACTTGTATTTTCCTTATTAATACCAAGCTAACATTAATTAGGTCGGATTCACTGAGAATCCCAATAACATCTGAAACTACGTTGTGAGCATTAGCTTTTACGAGACATGCCGTCTGTAGTTCCTCTGCAGATAACACTCATATATACTTATCAGCAGTGATTAGGCAGAATCACTAATATAAGAGTAAACTTTTTATTTCCAGGACTGGGCATTCACTGGGACCGGCAAATCATATTATAAAGGACCTGTAAGTTTACGAGATTTATACACGGATGCCGATATTGCTGCAGAGGATTGCATCATTTCATCATTACACAAACATTTTGGAGGTAGTCTGAAAATTATTGGTGAGGAGGTAAGAAATTAATTTCAGCTTTATATTTTTTCACTTAATTGCTTGTTTGGGTAACGCTTTGTTTTTTGCATTACCTTTGGGAAAAAATTTTTTTCAGCCTGGGAAATATCTGCTTTCAGGGAACATGCACTTCCGAGTTAGAATTGAGAATTTGTTGTACATGGTTGCTGACTTTTGAATCATATGAATTCAAATTCAGTTCGACAGAACAGATATTTAGACATTAAGAATTTAAATAAAATGAAGTGTTTAGTAACTCAGACCACACCCATTTTCTTTGGTCAGTGTTTGATATCGCTAATAGTGTGAAGACCACTAAAACGATTAAGATATTTCAATTCTCTTGCTAGTTTATGTTAATCACGACCTACCTTGCAGAGCATTAAACCAGTGGGAACGAGTGTGATAAATGATTTTGATCTCGGTGTTTTGATGTATGACAGTAAATGCAGTGACGAAGTGCACCAAATAACATTGGATGATGTATGTTTTGTCAAATCTCTACTTTGTTATGTTTGCCACAATGTTTCATGCACTTGGAAAAAGTTGAATCGAATGTGCTTTCAATTTTACTTCCATGACAATTTTCGTTAGTTTTTGTTGCAAACACAGCATTTTGCAGGTGGTTGTTTGGGTAGATCCTTTGGATGGAACTTATGAATTAGTTGCAGCTGAGGGCAGTATATGTGAATTTTATTTTCGCTATCAAATACATAATTTTTTTTCATCGAGTAACAGTTCATAAGTTTTGTTCATTAAGTAGCAGCTCATAAGTAGCAATTCAGTCACACTCGTTCTCAGTCGATTAATGAAGGCAGTGACGCTGATATTTAGCGTTAGAATATTATTATATATTGAATTCACGTATAGTTTTTTGTTCAAAATGCTAATGCTTTTTCCCTCTTTGAGAATACTCAATGGAATTCTATTATTGCAGTTTACTGTCGTTTTGACGATTGACGAGCTAGAAGGAAACTGATCACGTAAGGTAATGTGAAAAACACAGTGTTCATTTTGCAGCTCGACAGCAAGAAGTGACCGTACTTATTGGTGTATCGTGTCAAGGACGGCCAGTGGCTGGTGTTATACACCAGCCTTTTTGGGGAACCAATGCAGGAGGTCGCACAATTTGGGCAATCAAAGGAATAGGCGTTCATGGCATAGAAATTGTCAAAGGCATCATTTAAAATAGTTCCTCCTCCATTTTCAGAGACTGTGCTGCTAAATCTTATGACTCAAGAAAATTTCCTTGTAGAAGTCAGTTGTCTTTCGTTATGACATGATCAACTTCTTGTTTCATTTTATCTCTTCAAAATAACATGCATGTTTCTTTAGAGTCTTGTAGGAAGTGTATTTTTGAAGCTGCATCCACTACATTGCATTTTCATACAATGTCTTTAGGCAATTCACAACGATATGCTGTTACAACACGAAGTCATTCCACTCCTCAAATTCGTGACACAATGAACATTTTGAGGGAAAAGAATCTAATTAGCGATGTTGAATTTGTTGGTGGAGCCGGATTTAAAGCATGTTATTGGGGGCATTTTATTTTCTATTAGCCCATTTATGTAGTAAAATTATTATCGTGCGTAGTGTAGGCTTTTTTTGATAGTAAATATTTTAAATTGCGAGATTTCATTTTCATCACATCATATTGTGATACATTTCAGTTGTTTGGAAGGTCATTTTGGTATGTCTGTAAATAGTAATTAATAAGTTTTTTAACAGGAAGTTACCTATATGAAAAGTGAAGTTTATGCTAACTCGCATTACACACGTCTACATACTGTTTTCTCATTACCTTTGCCGATTACGTCTATTTTTTGATGAAAAAATTAAGAGGGGTAATAGTGATGTTTATACTGTTTTATTGTGATACCAAAGTCGATATTTTTTTAGGTCTTGAAATGTTTAGAAGGTGCTGCTGCTTATGTTTTCCCTAGTCCTGGTTGTAAAAAGTGGGATACTTGTGCTCCAGAAGCAATAATTACTGCATCAGGTTTCCATTTTTTTATTGTTTGGAGATTTAGATGTAGGTAAAATATTTGTAAAATTTCAATTAAAACCGATGTCCAGTTCTTTAGGTGGCAAACTTACTGATATCTCAGGCAATGATTTATATTATGGTGCAGATACGCAAATAGCAAATAGTGGTGGTGTGCTGGCAACAGCACATTGGGTAAATCATCAGGTTGGTTTTATATTGTGTATCAGTTTTCAGTTTTATTTTCAGCATTCAGAGTCAAGGTAGTTGTAATATTCAATCTTCGCTCCAAGTTTTGTCAAATTAAGTCCTGAAAGTGAAACTGCAGTTTAGACTATTATGTAGAAAGTTAATATATTGAATTTGTAGGACTTTGTGGATTGCATTCCAGAAGGGATAAAAACACTTGTGCCCAAACTAGTCCGTAATTGATATCTGCATCACTCAATAGAAATCAAGTATGAGCAGGTTATGATGGTATGATGTATACTCACTTTTATAGATAGTTTATATACTCACTATTATAGATAGTTTTTATGTATTTAGGAAAATAAGCAAATATACCGAAAACTATTAGGTGTTCAGATTAGGAATTCTCTTTCCACACCTGTCGTTTGTTATTTGTGGTCAACTTTCAATCCGATCAATGTCTTCTAATTCAAGTGATGTCGGAGCCCGATAGATAATTGCTTTTTTTAGAACTGTATATTACCTTCATTTATTTGCACAATAATGTTACGTCAAAATGATTTATGCAATTGTGTGAAATGTTGCGTATAAAACTTTGTAATCTTGGTAATATCGACAATTTTCTACAACATGACAAGGACTGAGGGTTGTTTCTGCCTCTTTGGTTGATAATATCTTAAACTTGGGTTTAATTACCCAAGGTTTAATTACTTTATTATCATAAGTTCGTTAGTATAACAACGAACTCAGCAATTACGATTCGATAAGACAAATTAATGGCAATAACAATATGAAAGGAGACTCAGTGACGCTCGATATTGTCTGTCCAATCCCTAGTTGAAATATATCGTTATAAATGTTTTGGTGTTCGAGGTCCCCCGCTTCCTCGAGTAGGAAATATCCTACTATAGTTCCGAGATTATAAGCATTAGCTAATGTGAAATGGTGCTCTTTGTTAAAGCAAATGGCACAATTTTAGTTTACATTTTACGTTGCAGAGTAGTTTTATATTGTATATTTTACATTTCACGTTGCATAATAAATCCATACATAACAACATATTATACCAGGCGGTATCAAATTTGCAACAAAGGAATTGCTGATTCATTGCGATTTCAGGACACTTGTTATGAATAATGTTTCCGTATTACACTTTATCAAATTGGTGATCAAGAGAAGCACACCTCGCAATAAAGTGTAC